ACTGGAATCGGATGTAACCTCCCGATCAGGACTTGAATATATATGTTTTTGGGTTTTTTTTCTATTTGTTTTATTTTGGCAAGCATTGAAACCAGCACGACCAGCATCGAGACCAGCAAGACCAGCATCGAGACCAGCAAAACCAGCATTGAAACCAGCAAGACCAACACTGAAACCAGCAAGACCAGCATCAAAACATGCCTAACCAGCATATGCTGTTTTTTCAGCAGGGTACAATATATAGTAAGATAATCACAAAGATCCCTGAATGTAACAGCACATGCTACAAACAACATACAATACTGTAGAGAGCCTTTTCTTATACATTCACTGAGAAGTTTAAAATAAATATATTATGAATCTAGACGGAGAAAAATGCCTCCCTGGGGTAATCAGCAGCTCTTATATAATGCTAATTTGAATAACAAACAAACACTCTATTCACTTTACAGTCAGTAAGCCTCAAATATGAGTTTAAAATAATCATAATACTCTCAAACAGCATAAAACAGCTTGTGCTAATAGCATCTCTCAATAAATGCCACTTTCACATCTTCATAAACACTTTTCTCCTCCATGCCAAAATGTGATTCACAACAGACAGAGGGTTTTCACAAAACACCGGACCCCTTGACCTACATTAAAGACATTTCCCTTCAAAATGTCTGAAGCCTGCAACAAATTTGATGGAGCCAAATGTGACCTTTTCGCACATTGTCATTTCCATTTCAAAGGGCTCGCAACACTGCTGTATTTATATCTACGCAACGCTGCATTACCATATAAATGAATCTGACGAAAGTGCCCATATTTAGAGGACGTCCAAACTTAAAGGTGAGCTTTCTTATTGTCCGACTGACTATCTGCGGGTGTATTTGCCAATTCTACCGCCAAACTTTCAGGTTTTGAACACTCTAACAATAACAAATTGAATACGGCTACAAAGTTATTTATCTAAATGCAGCTTTTCCGACTGCACTTTCAATCTCGACAGCCTGAGTGTGTGTGTTATTGAGGATGTGAGATCTGCGCTTTAGGCATTGAACGCTTTCCCACAATTCCTCAGTCCAGTCACTAAGCAACCACGCTGCCCTGTACCTGTTAATAAAAGCCCCCACCGTGCAGGAAGTGATACCCTAAAGGTGAGTTTGCGTTTTTGGCAAGAAATCTACATTTTTCACAGTAATTTGCAGGGGCTGATGGGAAAACAAACACTTAATGGGTTCAATAGGTTTGTGGGGTTGCAGTATGGGATGTACAGTATAGCACTTAAATAGTTCATCTAAATTAATGTCTTGTTGCATTTAGATACTACTATAGTTTTTTTAAGTAATAGAATGATATTAGTTTTGTTTATTTTTTGTTTTCATTAAATAAAGTTTGTCATTTTAATATATTTTTGTCTTTTATTATTATTATTGTTGTTGTTGTTTTTATTTTTATTATCATTATTATTATTATTATTATTATTATTATTATTATTTCATATTATTATTTTTATCATCATCATCATTGTGGTTGTTGTTGTTTTTAATATTAAATGTTTATTATTATTATTATTTTATTTGTTTATCATTGTTGTTGTTATTATCATTATTATTATTTTAAAATGTTTATTGTTATCATTATCATTATTATTTATTATTATTGTTATTATTATTATTATTATTATTATTATTATTATTATTATTATTACTATTGTTGTTGTTGTTGTTACTATCATTATCATTATCATTATCATTATTATTATTATTATTAAAATGTTTATCATCATGATTATTATTTTTGTTGCTGTTGTTGTTTTTATGATGATGATTATTATTATTATTATTATTATTATTATTATTATTATTATTATTATATATTTTTTATTTTGGTGCAAAGTTCAAATAAATTATTATAAATACAGTAAATGATTTCAAATGACTGAAAAAAAATGCTGAGATTATGAATCATTTATTTAAATGAATAATAATAATAATAATAATAATAATAATAATAATAAATAATAATAATTAATGTTCTGCTAATTTTAGTTAAAAATAATGACATTTTCAAAAAAAATTTTCTTTATTTTATACCCAGCTCCATAAACTGTATGGCTTACTTATGTGCTGTGACAAAAACAGTTTGATTATTATAGTTTGAAACATTTTAATCTCAATAAAATAAAAGGAAAAATAAAATTGCTAAGTGTGTTTTACTGCATGGACAATATATGCAAAGTTAAAATACTTTTATATTAATAATTTAGTTTGGTTTTTAGTACGAATATGTTAACAGTATTTATTTATTTATTTATTTGTATTTTTATTTATATTTTTTTGTATTTATCATGAATCAATTATAACACAAATCAATTCCATAACACACAAAACCCAGCCGGATCACTTTTTCTCCAAACACAGAGCTTGCGCCATCACAAGATCATGTTTGAACCCTCATCCTGAGGTCATGAAAGGAATGAATCCTCTCCAGTCCGGAAAAGTGTCTTCTCCACCCACAGCCCCACACCTCCATTCTCTAAAGCTTTTCTAATACAGTTAGCATGTCTGATCAATAGCGTAGCACACACCACTGGAGATAAGCGTGGACCTGGCTTCCTCGCTGAAGAAAACAGGTCGCGAGGAGAATCGATCATCCGCAGCCTGTGAATGGAGCGTTGATAAGCACACAGTTGACCTCTCTATTGCTTTTACACATGTAAATGCTATCTAGCAGAGAACAGCAGGGGAGATGTGGTAGATTAAAACACGCTGGCATTTGTCTTTTTTTTTTTTTTTCATTTCAGCACTCGATTCTGAGGGCAAAATGGGGTTATGTTTTAATGTGCGTGGATGTGTTGGACAAGATGTGGACTGAACTTTCAGGCAAGGAGAAATAGCCTGCTTTTAGACGCCCAGGGCTAGCATGAATATTCTAGTGCTGAATCTGGACCTGCTCTATTGGTATCATGGAGAGAGGTCAGGTGCAACCTTAAGCTATGAAAGGAGGATTTTCTATTTTGACTGAAAAGGCATGATTTGACTGAAATGTGACCTGTCACAAAGTCATTGGTGAAAGCATTTAAGTGAGTTGAAAATTATTTCATGCATCTATCATTAAATAGCAAACTAAATCTGGAACAGAATCAACATTTAGCTGATGTCAAAAATGTAAATGGAATAAGAAATGTTGTTTTCTTCTTTTTTTTCTCCCAAAAAATAAGTTAATAGAATTTTTTTTTATTAAAAACGAGGATCACTAGTCTGAAATCTGAAATGAATAGCAAAAAATACCATCATACTAAAATTAATCTTGAAAAAAAATTATTTTAAAATTAATCTAATAACTAAGTTTAACTGAAGTTAAAGTTAAAGTTATAAAGATAGTTATAAAGTTAACAGAAAAAAAAATAATTACAAGGAATCTGAAATAAAAGGGAAAAATATTATTATAATACTTAAAAATATTGCATGTCAGGAGAATTGTTTGTCTAATAAAATATGAAAAGTAAAAATTTATCTTCTCAAAAATAAACAAAAATAATGTAATAAATGCCAAAATTATTCCATTTTAAAATTATAATATTAATCTAAAAACTACAAAAAATAGACATTCCATCATGTTTACAGTTAATTTACTGTTAAATAAGTGTAAAAGCTGAAAGTTTAATTATTTATGTTAACTGGGCAGGTCAGGGTAATTAGCAAAGTTATTGTATAGCGATGGTTTGTTCTGTAGACTATCAAAAAAAAAAAAAAAAAAAAAAAAAATATATATATATATATATATATATATATATATATATATATATATATATATATATATATATATATATATATATATATATATATATATATATATATATAGCTTAAAGGGGCTAATAATTTTGACCTTAAAATGTTTGTTAAAAAACATTAAAAACTGCTTTAATTCTAGCCAAAATAAAACAAATCAGACTTTTTCCAGAAGAAACAATATTATCAGACATACTGTGAAAATTTTTCTTGCTCTGTTAAATATTATTTGGAAAATATATATATAAAAAAAACAAAAAAACAACTGTATACATACTTGAATCTATAGCTGATTATTTATATTTAGCAGATATAAACAATTGAAATGAAATAAAAATGTTATGCTTTCTTCTTTTTTTTAGGGTAATTCAATTAAAATTTTAAGATAATGGGACTGGAGCACAATAAATCTGAAAAATAATTGTTATAATAAGAAAAAAACTATTTTATTATATAATAGTTTAATTATAGTTATATAAAACTGTTGTATTATAATAATAGTAAAAGAAAACTGAAGAATGAATTGCCTAATAAAATGTAAAAAGTGATAATTTATCTGAAATAAATGGAAAGGTTGTATTCTTATAGTTATTTAAAATATTACAATGTAACATTACATAAAATATGCCAAAATGCAAAATTTATCTACTTAAGTCACCAAAAAATGTCATATACCAAAATCGCTCCTAAAATTTTTTTAAATAATATAAATAATCTAAAACAATGCCGCCTTTTTCATAACTATTTTAATTTTGTTAAATCAGTGTGAACATTGGAAGATTGTTTCAACAAACATAAATAAAAAATAAATAAATAAATAAATAAAATAAAAGGACACAATTTAAAAGAAAAGAACACAAAAAATAAATAAACAAATAAATAAAGCTTTTTTCAAATCTGATGTTCCCATATTTTATTATCACATTCCCAATTAATAAAAAAAAGAAAAAATATATATCCTATATGGATTCATTTCAAAGCAGCAAATCTAACTTAAAAGTAACAACTCTCTGAAACAGCATTTCTTATCAAAAACCTACACTGACATCAACAACACAAAGACCAAAAACGCCAAATATTGCCTTCAAAAACTGCTGGACACCAACAAACCAAATGAACCAAAACACAGTCTCAAAGTTTCCCAAAAAATTTTGTGACACAAAAAGTGACACAATGAGCGTTTCTGCATAAGTTGCGCGTGTTTCTGTGTGCTGTACATACTTGCCATTAATGACCCCGTCCGGGTTGAGCATGGGGACGATCTTGAAGATGTAAGCCTCTCTCAGACTCTCTGCCACTGGATCATCACTGCACAGAAACTCCAGCGTGCCTTTGAGAACCCAGCTGGCGTTACTCTCGCCTGGATGGACCCGCGCGGTCAGAACCACACACGGCCGGTTACCTGAAATAAGCACCAGTCAGAGGAAATGAGATTTGATTTAAAAATACAAACATTTTTTAAAATGAACTATTTAATTAATGCACAGTATACATGTAGCTGAAATGGACAGTTCACCCACAAATAAGAAGTTACTAACTATTTACTCCTCACTTTATATTTTGAAGAATATTAGAAATTGCTCTGTAAAAAAAATGTTATTTTATGTTTTCAGCTGAAGTGCCAAAAAACCCCGTAAAATAACAGCTATTATATTTTGGAAATTTACCGTGAAATAACGGCCATTAAATTACAAAAATTTGTTGTAAAAAAAATGGCCATTAAATTGAAAAAATTTACCGTAAAATAAGGGCCATTAAATTACAAAAATTTATCGTGAAATAATAAAAAAGACACTCAAACATCCGTCGCAAAATAAAATGTTACATTATTGAAATAAAGGAATGATACAATGGTAGAGGGATCATCACACAGTTCTCAGAGCTCGCCAGAACTGAACTGAGCTCCCATACATGCGTGCTTACCAATGGGTGCTTACATCTCAAAGGTAAAACAACCACAGAAGTCCTATTAAAGAGGATATGACATTTATACACAATGCATATCAAACATTAAGCTGAATCCAGCTTCTTATTCGCAGCTTCTTATTGACTCTATCCGGTCCACCTTAAAAACTGCGACCCGTCCAATTTTCAGCTTCTTATTCGCGCTCAAGAAAACACAGCAGCTTTAATCTTCTAAGCTTATTATGCGGTTCTGGCATCATCTTATGGATAGACAACGTCTACTGTGTTTGACTAATGGACACGACGCACTGCCTCACAGAAATGATAAATATTTTAAAATAGGCACTATCCTTATAAATAAACTGCACAGTTGCAATCTAAACAACTACATTCTTGGCTGAAATAACCTCAAAAGTACATTATGTTGCCTAACAGCAGGAATATTTGTCAAACTGTAAAGCATCCTCTGCTTGTATGTGGGCAGAGTAATACACAAAGGTGAAGAGGCCTTAGTGTGCTGCTACTGGCAAAATATATCACGGCTATAAGCCAATAAGATTCAAGAACCAGACACAACTGTTGTATAATTTATATATATATATATATATATATATATATATATACACACACACACACACACACATACACATACACACACACACACACACACACATATACATATACCTGTCCCACTAATCTAGAGTATAAACCTGATGTAGCTTAATTTACCGATTATGCAACTCATGACATGAACTGTGTAACTTTCATTCCACACACCCCCCCTCCAAATCACATTACACAGCAATTTTGGCATGTCAGATGTTTATTTGATGTGTCCCTTGAGTAGTTTCATCTGGATGACAAATTATATAGCTAAGCAAGTTTACAAAGCCAAAAAAAAAGATAGACAAAGCTTATCAAAAACACATTAACATTTAATTTAGCTTGACTATTATGGCCCTGGAAAAAAAGGGGTGACTCATTTGTGTGATTCTGGTATTGACAATTTCATAATGAGTTTCTGCATGGCCTCTGTTTATGTGCTCTTTCACCAGCTTCAAATCTGAATACTTCCATGCAAATAGGCTGAAGTCATTTATTTTTCCTTTCTCTCTTTTTTTTTTTTGAGCCATACAATTAAGCCACAGTAAGAAACGGCATTTACTGTAGTAGTGTACCTAACAAAAGTCTTGTCGTCAATCCCAGTTGTAAGAGCAACAAATAATAGTTTGCCTTATTATTATTAGTTTATCATCTGGAAAAGTGGCAGAAGGTAACTTTTCCGATGAATCATCTGTTGAACATCTTCAGCAAGATTGCACTTCTTTTCATACCTCAGCCTCCACATCATAGTTCCTGAAATCAAAGAAGGTCAAGGTGCTCCAGGATTGGCCAGACCAGTCATCAGACATGAACATTATTAAGCATGTCTGGGATAAGTTGAAGAAGGAGGTATTGAAGATGAATCCAAACAATCTTGATAAACTCTGGAAGTCCTGCAATGGCTTTTTTTGTCATTCCAGTTGACTTTATTAATAAGTTATTTGAGTCATTGCAGAGACGTATGAATGCAGTCGTCTAAGCTCATGGGAGTCATACAAAACATTTTTCTTTTGCCACTGCACCACGACTTTATATTCTATACTGTACACTATTTCTGTTAGAGTTACAAGACTTTTAAGCAAAGTCAAACCTTACTGTCCTAATTAATTAATTATTTATTTATATATATATGCCATATTGCTTAAAAATCCTTAAAATCAGTGTGAAATCTAAATTTTACTACACACACTATTATTCTTTAGGTGAACCATCAATCTGCGCAAGTTAATCCACGGAAAAAAACAACTGTTTGTTTTGGTAATCTTCAATAAAAACTGACCACTTGCTTCCACTTTTGGAGTAGCAGTTCTTCTGTTGATGTCAGTTTGATAGCTTCAGCCACAATATTTATAACCCAGCTCCTCTTACCGTTAGTTTGCTATGAGCGAATGATGCACAAAATAAGCTCCCCCTCTAATTAAAGGGCCATGAAACCCCCTCGTTTCAGCAGTGTGTTTTCACACCTCTACTTTGGAAAAAGTCAGAAAAGTGGGCGTGTCCAGCTCTGTTTAGGGGGGAGTGTCGGAGGAAGAAAAGGGATGGTGTGGGAGTGTCTATTTGGGCACGCGCGAGCTTCAGAGTCAAAATACACACACACACAGTAGAAAGTGATGGTGTTTAACCTACATGGACATCAGTAGTCGAATTATTTGCCAAATTATTAAATGATGGACTTTAACTGCAGTTTGGCTCTTTCATTCAGGGAATTCATTCATGCCCCTCGCGACAAACAAGATTTTTGATTCGAGGAACTGCTGTAAGCGTGTATTTTTCATGCAATGTTTGATACCGCACGGCAAATGAGAGAAAAAAAACTCCGCATTTCCCGGAAACTTAGATGCATACAGCAGGTATCGTCAGAAAGCCGCGTGTGTTATTTTGGTCACTAAATGTGGTGAAAACCCTACACAAGGTTAAAGTTTGGTTGTGGTGCTAACATGTTTACACTCGGTGCAATAGTTAACTTAGTTCGATACGAACAAACTGAAGAGTGCTAAACAAAAGAGCGCTGGTCGCTCACTTACCAAATCTGTAGAGACAGGACAATCCACAGCAACTAGAGCCGCGTCTTTATGAAAAGGAGACTACAAGCAAATCCAGATCTCAGCGTTTGCAGATGAGAACAGCTCTCAAGTAAACAATAATCCTCCTTAGACACGTAAGTTATTGTTGTCGAGCGTCGCGTACACTGTTAATCCACACGTGAGACTGAGCTCTTACAGAGAGAAAATGAAAACGAAACTTAACTGCAGCAAACTATAAAAGCAACACTTCACGCTTGTTTTGCCAATACAACGTGGTGTGAGTTTCGTCTAAGCACTGTGACAGTAATGAATATTAATAAAGTTGCACAATAGAGCGCGCTGATTGGTTTGAACCAAGCCTTACTCATGCATTAATGCATCACACTGTAAGACGTAATAAGACACACTCTGGCACAGGCGTCCAGTCTGTACGCTGGAATACACGCTATTATGTCATGACCGTGACGCAGCTTCAAAAATTCGTTTCAAACCGGAAGTACGAATTTGCTTGAAATAACGCAAAAACAACCAATTTACACTTTTTAGTGAAATATAGGTGTCCTAATAGTGTTTTTAGCAGTGTGGGACACATATACGACTGTCAACAGCTCAAAAAATGTGTTTTGGTGTTTTGTGACCCTTTAAAATAAAAGTCTTAGCAGCTTTTGCAGACTTCAAAGCAAAAACGCTAATAATTATACTTTATACCTAAATTTATTCATGTTTAATACACTGTTTATGTTTACTAGTTTATATATAATAAATTAAAAAACGTGTATATATTTTAAACTATTGTGAAAATCTGGTAATTTACAGTTTCTGTAATTTGTGATTCACATTTATTTACGGTTATGAACTGCATTATGGTTAAAAATGACCTCTACAGTTTAACAAAGTAAATTTTATTGACATTTTACTATTTTGAAATATTATAATGTGTAATAAATATTATAGAGATAATATAATATACACATAATACACATAATATGCAACAACATCCCAAACAATATACAGATGAAGTCAGAATTATTAGCCACCAAAAGTTGTTGGAAGAGAGATCAAGGTTCCATAATGCAATTGAAAAAAATAAACAAGAGAAATGAAAAAACAAAAACATGAATCACAAAATATGAAAAAATTGCTAATTTACAGATATTTTTAGAGTGTACATTTTATTTAAGTGTCACAATATTGACCCTGAAGTGCTGAAAAAGCCACACCATACCAAAATAAATACAGAGAAAAAGCGTAGTATCTCCAACAAAAGTATAAAATATGCTTGATAAATATCATCAGCTTCATGTGCAGCACTCAATTCCCCTCAAGAGCGGCTGCTACGGTTCAGCAAAAAACAGAGATAATTTAAATTCCAATTCAAGTCGGAATCAGAGACTACAGGCCCTCAATGCATTCAGATGATGATGTGTGCTGCAAAACCCTCATCCTCACTGCTTAAAGGAGACATGGTAAGCCTATTTTCACAAGATGTCAGGTATATATATGTTTTCTCCAGAGTTTTAGATTAAAAAAAGTCCACAGATCAGTTATAACAGCTTGTCAAATTTACCAATTTTTGGGTGTGAGCAAAAACCACAATTTTCTTTGAGTGTCTCTTTAAACACAAATGAGCTGCTGCTGCAGGGACAACTAAACAAACAAATCTCACACAATCTAAATATCCAACGGTATTTCAGAAGCAGCTAAATCAAAGGGCCAAGAAACCCCCCTCTTTTAGTTCAAGTCTACCTGAGAATTTTTTTTTTAAAAGATGCATCATAATGGGCGTGGAGTTCTGCGAGCAGAGGCAGAAGTGGGCGTGGCCAGCAGAGCAGGGGAGAAGGATGGAAGCGAACAACTGTTGTCAGTTGGC